GAGACTCTTATCTCCATAAACTACTAGAAAACCAGAAGCGGCACTGTGGCTCAAGCGGTAGAGGGCTCGCCTTGAGCTGAAGAGCGTAGGGACAGCTCCCAGCCCAAGAGTTCAAGCCCCATGACCAACCAAAAAAAAAAGAAAAAAAGAGTCTCATGGACTTTCCTGGCTGGGCTGGTTTTGGATGGCAATTCTCAGATCTCAGCCTCCTGAGTAGCTAGGATGACAGGCTTGAGCCACTGACACCTAGCAAAATTGTTTTTATATTATGACTCGGCTTTGCCATTAAGTAACTTCTACCCCATGTTGCAATAAACGGAGACATTAGCCAGTGGCTGGACTTGAGCCTGCATGCCTAGTTCCTGGTCAGGGTCCTCTCTGTGGCAGCTTGAGCCTTCAAGGGGGTCTCCCAATAGGGTACCCCAGTGTCTCCAGGTTGCTAGAAACCAAGGTGTTACAGTCACCCCGCTTCCCAGGTCAGCCCAAGTTCAAGGAGAGTTGGAGGCTAGCCCTGCTCACGATCCGACCCCGTTAAGGACCTCTCCCTCTGTGTGCCCTGCCCTGCTCACCATCCGACCCCGCTAAGGACCTCTCCCTCTGTGCCCTGCCCTGCTCACCATCCGACCCCGCTAAGGACCTCTCCCTCTGTGCCCTGCCCTGCTCACCATCCGACCCCGCTAAGGACCTCTCCCTCTGTTTGCCCTGCCCTGCTCACCATCCGACCCGGCTAAGGACCTCTCCCTCTGTGTGCCCTGCCCTGCTCACCATCCAACCCCGCTAAGGACCTCTCCCTCTGTGCCCTGCCCTGCTCACCATCCGACCCCGCTAAGGACCTCTCCCTCTGTTTGCCCTGCCCTGCTCACCATCCGACCCGGCTAAGGACCTCTCCCTCTGTGTGCCCTGCCCTGCTCACCATCCGACCCCGCTAAGGACCTCTCCCTCTGTGCCCTGCCCTGCTCACCATCCGACCCCGCTAAGGACCTCTCCCTCTGTGTGCCCTGCCCTGCTCACCATCCGACCCGGCTAAGGACCTCTCCCTCTCTGTGCCCTGCCCTGCTCACCATCCGACCCCGCTAAGGACCTCTCCCTCTGTGTGCCCTGCCCTGCTCACCATCCGACCCCGCTAAGGACCTCTCCCTCTGTGTGCCCTGCCCTGCTCACCATCCGACCCCGCTAAGGACCTCTCCCTCTGTGCCCTGCTCACCATCCAACCCCGCTAAGGACCTCTCCCTCTGTGCCCTGCCCTGCTCACCATCCAACCCCGCTAAGGACCTCTCCCTCTGTGCCCTGCCCTGCTCACCATCCGACCCCGCTAAGGACCTCTCCCTCTGTGTGCCCTGCCCTGCTCACCATCCGACCCGGCTAAGGACCTCTCCCTCTGTGCCCTGCCCTGCTCACCATCCGACCCCGCTAAGGACCTCTCCCTCTGTGTGCCCTGCCCTGCTCACCATCCAACCCCGCTAAGGACCTCTCCCTCTGTGCCCTGCCCTGCTCACCATCCGACCCCGCTAAGGACCTCTCCCTCTGTGTGCCCTGCCCTGCTCACCATCCGACCCGGCTAAGGACCTCTCCCTCTGTGCCCTGCCCTGCTCACCATCCGACCCCGCTAAGGACCTCTCCCTCTGTGTGCCCTGCCCTGCTCACCATCCAACCCCGCTAAGGACCTCTCCCTCTGTGCCCTGCCCTGCTCACCATCCGACCCCGCTAAGGACCTCTCCCTCTGTGTGCCCTGCCCTGCTCACCATCCAACCCCGCTAAGGACCTCTCCCTCTGTGCCCTGCCCTGCTCACCATCCAACCCCGCTAAGGACCTCTCCCTCTGTGTGCCCTGCTCTCTGCTTCACTAGGCATTCCCTGACTGGAGCACTTTCCTTGTCAAATACTCTGGAACTAGCCACACCCAGCCTGCATGCTCAGGGCATCTACTAGTAGTAGTGTCCATGGGCACGTGCAGCAGCTCTCTTGGGCTGGAGGCTCTGCTGCTCCCCTGGGCATCCACAGTGTGGCTGGGCATGTACAGGGGGAGCTGCCAGGCTGTTGGGAAGCTTGGCCTCAAACCTCAGCCATGGTCACCTGCTGAGCCCACTTGGCAGGACACTGAGTGGTGTCATGGGGCCTCCAGCGCCTCTCACCCTGACAGCAGGGCACGGACCATCCGGTTCCATTTCAGCCCCGCAGATAGGCAAGAGGGTCACCAAGGAGATGGGGCATGCTTCCCAGAGCAGCTCTGACTCCCTGCTCCCTGTCATCATCGGTAGCCAGTTCCCCTGTGTCCAGGTCCACTCTGCTCACAAGCCCTGACACCACAGGCCCTGGTTACTCAGATCAGCCCAGGGCTGTCTGTGCCCCAGAGCCTCTGCCCTGACTCCCCCACCTCCAAGCAGCATGAGCCAAAGCTTCCTTCTGGTGACGGTTATAGGCTAAGACTGGAGAAGGCCTTTCTGTCCCAGCAGAAGCCACCGGGTGGTGGTTCTGTGAAGGTGACCCCATAGGAGAGGGAGTGAGGCCAGAGCTTGAATCTGCTGAAAGCTGAAATTCAATTATTCAGAACAGGCCAAGCTACCATGACACAGAAGGTTAGGGATTAATGTTAACAGGGTTTCTGGTTAAGGTTTTGTGTTGATAAATAATTCATGAGGTAGTTAGCACTCTGAGTCTGACAACATGAGAATATATTTAATACAGTCGACTCTGAGAAAGGTCAGCCACGTACAGCAGTCCTGGCCATCTTTTTTATTCATTCCCTGACACCAGCTCGTTAATTATCCCAGTCAGCCGGGGCTGCACAGAGAGGTGTTAATGAGAGAGGGGTGCGGGGAGCCTGGGAAATTCTGAAGATGAAGGCTGGTTCGTCAGCGATGGTGAGAGGACAGCCGGGCCTGGGGGGCAGGGATCCTAGCACGGGCCCTGCACATGGTATGGTTGACGCTGAGATGAGATGATCTGGAGGAAGGGATGTGAGGGAAAAGGGGAAGAGCATGAAGTCTATGCAAGTAGAGAGGGAGAAGTGGGGTGCAGAGAGCGCCACTAGGCTCAGCGTGCAGGGGGTGGGCCAGGCCGCGCGGGCCCAGGAGCCCACCTGCCTGTGATGTGTGCCGACAGCTGTCTATACAGATGACTGTCTGAGTGTGCCCGCGCATGCCTGTGACATCATGCTTGTATGTGCCCATGACTGTGTGCTTGTGCATGCATATGATGTGTGCCTGTAGCTATAAGTTTGTGTGCACACAACTGTGTACATATAGTTTTGTATGTATGTGCCCATGACCTTGTGACTGTGCGCCGTGTGATTGTGGGTGCGTATGACAGTTGGATGTGCATTCATACCTAACTACAGTCACATTGAGGTAGGCAAGACTGGGGGACAGTTGTTCTCAAGGGCTACTGTCTAGTAGCGTGAGGTGGACAGAGCTGGGACCGTAGGATCTCCAGGCAGGGCTGAGGAGCCTTGTGCCATTACTTAGGTTGAAACCCAGAGGTCATTTAGCCTACAACACAGAGTCAAAAAGAAGAAATGAATGGAAACAAGAAATGTGCTAAGGGAAGCTTCTTGTGTTCTGTGAGTGTGTCAACGCCAGGCCTGAGTTTAGGAAGCAGGGCTGGTGGATCCTAAGGAGCCGGTGGGCAAGAGCATCTGTAGCACGGTTCCAGGTGTGGCGCCTGCCACGCCTGTCCACATTGTCCTTGTTACCTCTGCAACTGTGGTCCAAAAAATACTAAAAATAATAGCAGTTGGGTTCAAGGATCTGGTGATCCTCCCATGTTTCCAGCTAAGAACATTCTAGAGTGGTGTGAGATGCGAGCTAGTCCTCCTTGTACAACTGACTGTCCCTGTGTCCCCGTCTGCGGCAGCAGGACTGCCCGCCCTTTATGCCGTCAGTGGGCATCATACGGCAGTTCACACATCGTCCAGTCCTGTTGTCCACTGGGCCCTTGGCTCGGGGGTGAAGCTGGCAGCATTGCTGGGAGGATTGAGCTTGGTGTAGGAGCTGAAGTGGATAGCATTGCTAGGCTGGAATCAAACCCTGTCTACAATGAATGCATGCACGGACGGGGCTCTCACTTCACACATAGCTCAGAAAGGCTTCTGCTGAGCACGGCGGAGAGAGAAAGGGACCAGACTGGCTGGGACTCTGACGGAGCTTTGGGGAACTGCCCATCTGAATATCTGGTCAGGCCCATTACCATGCTGACTGTGAGCTACGCGGTGTCTGCAGAAGCCACTGGAAAGACCAGGACCAGGGCTGGGAAGGTGGCTCAGTGGTAGAGTGCTTGCCTTGCATGCATGAGGCCCTGAGTTTGGTTCCTCAGCACCACATAAGCAGAAAAAGCCGTAAGTGGCGCTGTGGCTCAAGTGGTAGAGTGCTAGCCTTGAGCTGAAGAGCTGAGGGACAGTGCCCAGGCCCAGAGTTCAGGCCCCATGACCAGACCCAAAAAAAAAAAAAAAAAAAAAAGCATGAGAGGCAGAGGTCTGGAGTCCTGGGTGCCATGTGGGATTTGGGTCCTGGTTAGTCTGTGGAGCTGTTCTCACCCTATCTGGGGAGCCGTCCTGCCTGAGCGCCCATGGCCTCTGCTTAGCCGCCACATAGCTTCAGAACTACCTCTTCTGGGCTCACAGAACCTAGGAGGGGCTGTCAGCAGTGCTGCCCCCTCCAGGGGCCATCCCCTGGCCTTCAGAGGGCTCCCTCAACCCGACGCCACTAGGCCTGTTGCCAGTGATCTGTCCACAGTAAACCCCTAACTGCTGGGCATCCTTTTACCTATGAGGTGAGCCAGCAGTGCCAAGTGCATATGGCCACAGCACCAGCATCACCCAGCCCAGAGCATGCTAGGAGCTGACCTAACGTAAGTAAGTCCGTAAGTGCAACCCAAGGCCCCAGATAGCAGGTGTTGTGTCTGTTCTCAAGACAAGGCTCTCAGAGTGGAGACACCTCTCCATTAGGTGTGAGTCAGGATTCTCAGCCCTGCAACTCCAGCATAGCTTCTGGCTTCCCTGCCCAGGATGGTTATAAGCCCCCGGGCAAGCGCCAGACAGGGGGGCTGTACATGAGGCCAGCAGCAGTCATGGGCAGCATGCCCCAGCTGCAGAGAGCAAACACATTGTCCCCCAACCTCACTACAGTGGTTGACATTGCGGCCTGGCAGGAAGCAGAGGTGTGGAAGCCATGTGCTCCTTGCAGTACTAATTTACACATCAGGCATATGTAGAAAGACAAAAAGTGGGTATTGAGATGACCTCACAGTCTGGTTATCAGAGCATCTTGAGAGCTTGCCCTCGACTGAAGACCAGTCCTCTTCAGCTAGCAACGCAGCTGTGGGATGGACGCACAGGGAGTGGTGAGGGAGAAATAGGAACCCGCCTTGCCGGCCAGGTCGAGCCAGATCACCCTCACATCCTTGTAGTAAAACTCTAGCTGTCTTAGCTCTGCGTTGGAGACTGAGCCTATGTTGCACAAATGAAGGTGAGCACCTTAGTGGCTTATATCAGCGCAGGCAGTGGATCTCCTGGGACAGGGGTGGCTGTGGCCCTTGCTCCTTCCAGTGTCACTCCACCAGACTATTCAGGAGCTGGAGTGCACCTGTGGGAGGCCAGAGATAGCCATGCATCTGAGCAGCCATGTGTCCCCATGAGGCTAAAGCAGTCAGCAGAGTGCTCAGCGGGACGCGGGGAGGATGTGCAGGGAGAAGCCCTTGATAGCGAGACCTCGGCAGGTCACATACACCAGGCCTGGACGTGGGCTCGTGGCAGGCACACTAAGGTACTGCTACACACAAAGAAAGGGGCTGTACAAGCTCTCCTGGGTGGCCTTGTACTCGTTAGGAAATCCCCGTTCGTGTGGAGGGTGGAGCATCTGTACCCCTCAGCCCCACGGGCATGGCCCAGCAGGGGCGTGAGCACTGGATGTGCCAGGGGCTCAGGCCCCCCTGCCTGAGGACAGGCAAGGCTGAGTGGAATATGCCAACTCCTTCCTGCCCAGCCTTAGCCCTGCTGTGTTTGATGTTGCTGGCTTCTTCATGGTGTTTGGTATGCTTCTCGGACCTCTGCAGGGGCCCTGTGCAAGCCTGACCCTGTAGGCAGCAGTGTCTCTTACATGGGAAGAAACCACCCCACACTTGCCGCCTCCGCCACCATAGTCCTGCCCTGGCTGGAGTGAGGACGCTGGAGAGCCAGACCACCAGGACTGTCCTTCATCCCTGTGCCCCTGCCCGGCCTGTGGACTCATGGGGCCGGACGCCCCGCCCCCTCACCTCCAGGCCCAGCTGCTGAGTTGATCACTAGGAGTAGCAGACCCCAGCAGCAAGGTCCCCTGCTCATGAATTTTCATGCCTTTGTTTGAGCAGTGGGAGACAGGCAGCCCTCTGAACACAGCTTCTGAGCAGTAATTAATGTTCACACTGAGAAGAAAAGGCGTGTTTCTATTGCTGCTTAATAGCCATGCTGAATTGTGTCTCTTGATTTGTGGGGGTGACAAGCACCACCGCCACTCCAGCAAGCAGCTGGCTGAGCTTCTGTAGGGGCGTGGAAGCCTGGGCGGCAGAGACCAAATGCTCCTGACCTGTCTTACAGAGGTTTGGGGCAGGGGAGGAGCACCGTCAGGTGACAGGCTCAGATACCTGCAAGGGGAGGGTGTGTGTACACAGTGCTCTGAGCACTATCCAGACCATCCTAGTGCTTCGCACGGGTTCACTCCTTACACGAATCATCGTCCCTGTTAGACGCATACACGAAGCGCTCCAGGGACGGACCCACAGCTGCTCAGTGGGCAGCACAGCAGCGCCATGGCTTGGCCTCCAGCCACAGTACCCCTGCCCCTTAGCCTGAGGTATCCACATCCATACCCTGGTGTAGATCCCAGGGGTCACCTCCCTCAGGCAGCTCCCAGAGCCCTCCTCACCCTGGGGATTACTGTACTCAATTCCAGCGTCACCACAGCTGACTTATCAATTCAGTAGCCCGTAATCACATGAATTCAGTTCGGCCTTGCCTGGGCCTCAAGACCGTGTTGCCAGACTGGGGCATGTTCTGTCCTAGGCTCCCTTGTTGATGTATGTTGAACAGCCTCTTTAAGCTGCCTGTCCCAGCTGCTCCAGCCTTGGACTCAGAAGTCACGGGTGTGTTTCTGGCCTGGGTCTGTGTGTCCTGCTAGTTCATGGGGTCCTGGTACAGCCATGGCTGAGGCAGGACTCAAGGGCTGAGCACTGGCTCCAGGCACCCAGATGACTGGCAATCTTCATCCTGGCAGGTTAGTGGGGCTTCATTAAGCAGAGATGCTTCAGTTGGCCTCAGCTGAGGTCCCAGAATCCCGAGGGTCAGATCAGATAGAGCAGCCAACAGCCCCTCCCCAGTATCTCTGCTACAAGCTGCCTGCTCCCTCACCTCACCGGTCGCACATCCCTCCTGAGGGGCCACTCACGTCAGCAACTCCACCCTCTCCCCGCATGCCCACCTGTCCGGTACATCGCAGCCCCTTTGTCTCTGCCCTGCTACCTTCCTTCTAGGCTCCCGCGCCCCTTTCTCTACTACCCCACCCCACCCACATGCTGTTCTACCAAGTCTTGCCTGTCACACAGATTGAGGGACCCAGGGCACCTTCCACGAGCCCCGCACCTCAGGGACACAGAGGGACACAGAGCCAGGCTAGGGCAGGGACCTGCCGGACAGTGCTGTTTTTTTATCAGCTTCCTGGGAGAGGTGTGGCCAAGAGTATGGCCAGGAAAGACCCCTGCCACCTACAGCAGCCAGAGCTTGGTGCAAGGCTGTGGCCTTGTTCCTGGCCCAGCTGCTTCACATGCTATTGTTAGCCGAACTGGAAATGGTGTGTCTGGCTGCAGTGAGTAGCTGGCAAAGTGCATTTTTATACAACTCTGTGAACTTTGTCATTGAAAACATTATAGCCTTCAATTTGGGGGCCTAGTGGAAGGTAGTATAATTTGATTACCTGTATTAATCAAGTAGAGTACAACATATAAAACCAGCAGTGTACACGTCTGACTGGAGCCGGATCACCCTCTTGTGCGTCTTGGAGAGATTTATTTCCAGCAGTATAATTCATTTGACATGAACGTATCATAATTGCAGTTGCTGGGAAGGGTCTTTTTTTTTCTTTTCATTCTTTTAAGGGAAATTTCATTGTTCCTCTAGCACTGTGTCCTTTCCAAGGCTCTGCTTACTGAAAATGGAAAACAAAAATTGTTTTTATCCATTGTGATCTTGCATTAACCACTGACATGCAGACAGGTCCTCTGAGAGCACTGCTTCCACCCCACGCACTGTGGGTCAGGCTGCCTTTGTCCTCCACACTCACCTTCCCACCAGAGGAGCCTCTGGTGAAGTCCCTAAATCTGAGAACAGAAGAAGGAGCAAGGGCTCTGAGGGTGGCAGTGCCTCTCATCAGCCTTCCTTGGGCCTGCTGGTGTCTGTGGGGCCATCGCCACGCTGCCCTCTCCTCGAGCTGGGGCGCCCACGCCAGAGGGGCCCGCGGGGCCACCCGGGTCACGGCAGCTGTGCCTTCCATATCCTGTTCTAAGGGGTGCTGGCCACTACAGCCTTTTCCCTGGCCCATCGGAGGCAAGATGGCCGCTGGTGTCCCTTTGTGCATCCCTGTCCCTTCTTGCTGCCCCCGCTCAGCTTGCTAGCGTTTGCCTCTCCAGGAACCTGGTGAGGGCCCAGCTGAGGTGTGGCGCGTCCCCTGTGGTGTGAAGGGCCCTGGCTCACCCCTTTCTCTTTGTCTTCCCTACAGTGTGACAGCGAGAGTGGCGTGGACGACAAGGTGAGCTGACTCTTTCCTCCCCTCCTCCTGGATTCTCCTGGGCGTCCTGTGCATCCCTCCACCCTGACCAGAGCAAGCCTGAGCCCTGGGGTTCCCCTGCCAGAGGGGTGGTGTGGGAGGTGTGGCTCCTCCGGTGTCGGGGACTCACATGCTAGGAGGCGTGTGCCATAGGCAAACACCCAGGCTTCCCAGCGGCTCCCTGAAGAGTCCTCCAAGAGCGCCCAGGCCGAGCGCCGAGACGGGCCCCACCTGCGTGGGTAGAGGGTGGGGCTTGGCCAGGCAGCTGCAGGAGCTTCCAGAATGAGACTTGGAGAGGGTAGCCTGTGGGTCACGATAGGCCCCCTGCCTTTCAGGTCACTGTCAGGGTGACCTGCGGCGGTTACAGCTTCCTGGATTCCTGAGCCCTTCGGGTGGGGAGGTGAGCACCCCCTGGAGATCACACCCAGGGCCAGCCGGGGCAGCTGGGGCAGCCTGGCATGGGTTCTGGCTGGTGCTCTCTGCAAAGGAGGGGCCGGAGTGCAGGTGACCTGAGTGCATGCAGCGTCCTCTGGCAGGAAGGGGGACACAGCCCTGGGCACAGGAGAGGGTCAGGAGCTGGACGCTGGCTTTTGTTTGATGAAAACTGTCATAAACAGAGGTCTATGTGTTGTGCTAAGGTGTATGGCATGCTTGTGGTCACATGTCTGACCTGGGCAGGAACTGCCACAATGGAGGTCTTGTAGGACAAACACAGGGTGACCTGGTGGGCTTGGGTTTGGCAAATTCAGGAAGTCTAAGTTGCCCAAGAACAGGTACCCTGGCAATGCAGGGACTGCGGCCCATACAGTACCAGTGAAGGGAGCTGTGTGTCCTGTGCTGTCACCCAGCTGACTTCTGATCCCTCTGGCGGGAAGTATCAGGGACACAGCCCTGGAGGTCCCTCTGCCAGCGGGAAGCCATCAAGTCCTGAGCTGTGGCCCCTGCTACCCACAGCCGGTGCCCAGCGCTCCCCCTGGCGGCCTCCGCTGCCGCCTGAGGCGCTTGGACAGGGCTCGCGGTTCAGCAGGTGGGGTCCCTGTCCTGACCTTGTTAATGAGACTAGATCACACATACCTCGGAGGTGCTGAGCCAGCAGGTCCCTCAGCACTTCTTTCAATTTAAAACCAATTTTCAGAGCGTATGCTCTGTGCAGCTGGGGGCAGGGGGGAAGGGAGGGAGGGAAAGAGGGAGAAAGAGAGGCTCTGAAGAGAGCAGACAGGAGGCAGGTGCGGAGGGCTCAGTGACTCCTGCATACCCACTGGCTTCTAGAGGTCTCCTAGAATCCAAGCCACCACCCTGTGGAAGACAGGTAGCAAGGGTGCCACTCCTGCACTCAGCAGCCCTCGGTTCGCTGTCCGGTCCTGAGCCCAGGACTATGCCTGGGTGCTGTGGTCCCCTCCTTTCAGGAGGTTCAGGAATGCTCTGTGGGAAGTGCTGCATGTGTGCTGTGGGCTCACTCCTTACAGTCCCAGGGAGAATGTCGGGACAGCGCCCTGCCTGTCTCCAGGGCTGGCAGACATGCCCATGCATGTGGGAGGGGCCTCCTGGGCTCCTGGCTGCATGGAGGGACAGCAGTCAAGACAGGTGGGAGAGCCAGCCTTCAAAGACCTCCAGGAGGAAAAGCAGGGAGAATGAGCAGAGGCCCAGAGGGCGGCCAGACAGCTTCCTCCATGCTTCAGCGTCCCTTGTCAGTGAGGGCCTCACGGGGGCTGCAGAGAAGCTGACGGCAGACTCTGTGGGCTCTGTCAGGAGAGGAAACAGGCTGGAAGGGGTAGGGGCCCTCAGACGCAGGACAGCCTGAGCTTATGGGGACCTTGGAGGCTCCTCGTGACCAGGGAACTCACACTTTACATGCAGGCCAGCTGATTTCTTGTATTCCTTGTCACACAATGGCCCAAGAGAAGCTAACAGTGGACAAGGCCTTGGTGATGGTGTCTGGACCTGTAGTTGGGCAGAAAGCTCAAGCGTGCAGGGGCCCTGGCACAGACACGCTGGGCACAGGGACAGCCCTGTGATGTGAGGTGGAGCTAGAGACCCACCTGGGCAGGACAGCTGCTCTGCTGGACTCACTCCTCACCTTCCTGCCCAAAGAGCAAGGCTGCCTGTACCTTCCAGGCCACCCCACCCTGAGGATCTTCTTGGTTCTGCTCTGGCTAATATACAGACACTCTGGGGCCTTCAAATAGAAGGATGGATAGGAAACCTCTTCCCTGCACCTGCCCAGCAGATCTCCCCATCACCCAGCCCAGTGCCGTGGGGGCCACCCGCCCTTCCCACGGCTCTACCACAGTAACTAAAGGAAACGGGAGCAGTACCAGCAGGCTCAGAAGCAGGTGCCAGATGGCCCCTCTGAGAGGCAGTGGTTGGTATCTGATGGCTCTTTTATTGGGAAAAGTGTGGGTTAAAAAAAAAATGTGTGGAGCTCATCAGTCAGCCTGCTGGGCCTTCAGTCTGAGTGGCCCAGCCAGGTGCTGTCTGGCCAGCCTCCAAGATGTTTGTCCGTCTGCAGCCCATCTGCAGACACCCTCCAGGTGATGCTCTTGCTCTCAGGCTTGAAAGGCTCCCAAGAGGACCCCTTCCTGAGGAGCAGACCCACGGTGCCTCTGTCTCCCATCTGTAGAACTGGATCAGAGTGGTGCCTGTGGCCTGGACAGAGGCTAGGACATTGAGAGCAGACATAGGCCCTTGACCTCCGGGATTGCTGATAGTTATGTTGGGATAGACAGGCCCTGACCCCTCCCTCTCTGCCAGCTCCCCTCACCTTCCTCCTAACCGCCTCTCCCAGAGGGAGCTCTGTGTGTGATTAGGGTCTTCTCGGAATCTGTCTTCTCCGCTCTCAAGCAGGACTCGTCAGTCACACTCTCTGGACTCTTGTTCTTTCCAGCTACACAAGACAGGCACTGCTAGCTGCGTGGACACGGGTGGGCAGGTGGGCCCAGCATCTAGGGCGAAGGTCCTTGCAGTGCGGGCTTTGCTCCCCTTGCAGTCCCACTGGACGCTGTGGTCCCAGGGAGTGGCTGCGGTGGCTCCTCAGGAAGCAGCCCATGTCTCCATGTGCACAGCCCCGTATGCTTCTGAAGTGCATCTCCCAATGGAACAGGTGGGGCAGTGACCAATGCACAGCAAGTGACATGACACCTCCAAGGTGACAGTCTTACTGTCAGGAGAGACATCTGAGGAACAGAAGGTCCCCTTGGGAGCCCAGACACTCAGAGGAAGTGATCAGGTAGGGGAGATAAGGAAGGCCAAGGAGTCCAGAGCCAGGTGGTGACAAACCCCCAGCTCAGGTGGTCCAGGGGCAGAATCTTTATTGGAGAGAGGGCCCTTTCCTAGTGCCTGGATCCTTGAGTCCCGGGGGTGTCCTCACGAGCCTTGTGTGACTCCTGTCCCAGCCCTCATGGCTCTAATGGGCATGGACACCAGACAGGCAGTAGTTGCTGAGAGGGCTCTTAGGTAAGCACAGAGGTGCTCAGGCTGGAAACAGCCGCTGGCGTCCCGCAGAGAACGCTGGGTGGATGTACAGGCAAAAAAGACGCCAGGAGCCTCCCTCAGATTGGGGCATCCTAGGAGGGACTCTGGCCCTGCTGCCCTAAGCACATGAGTGATGAGGTAGGAGCTGGTGTTCACTCTGTGCTGTAGCCAGAAGCGGAGGCCAGAGAATTTAATTGTCACAAGTGCAGCCCTCAGGGGTTGAGGAGTGATAAGGCCCCTTGAGGGTTTTACACCGAGCAGGTGCTAGCAAGAGGTGGTATCAGAAGTCCCTAGTGTGAGCTGGATGCCAGTGCCTGGCTGCTCTTCTCCCTTGGGTTCTATACTGGCACCTTGAGTTGTGCGTAGTCCACACACTCCTCCAAGTGCTCTGCCCTGAAGGTGTATTTTTTTGTTTTTGTTTTTTTGGGGTTTTTTTGGGCGGGGGGTCCAGTCATGGGGCCTGAACTCTGGGCCTGGGCGCTGTCCCTCAGCTCTTCAGCTCAAGGCTAGCGCTCTACCACTTGAGCCACAGCACCAATTCCGGCTTTTTTCTTTTTGCTTATGTGGTGCTGAGGAATCGAACCCAGGGCCTCAGGCATGCAAGGCAAGCATCTACCACTGAGCCACCTTCCCAGCCCTGAAGGTCTATTTTCTAGTCTGTAAGTGGGGCGGGGCATGACTGGGTGCTGAGTTTCAGCTGGCTCAGTGAGTGACTCTGGCTCCTCTGTCCACACTCCGGATGTTGTTGGCAGTGAGCTTTTCCTGCCCTCCCACTAGCTCAGAAATCCACACCTATGGGACGCGCAGTTATAGCTACACTTCTCGCATGGCTGTTGACTGACAGACAGTGCGGTGGACAGGGAGTCCACACCTCAGCCAGGACTCCGGAGAGGCGTCAGCATCCCGGGGCCACTCTGCATCCGTTGCTGGTAGCTCACCTGCTAAGTGGCAGCCTGCAGGAAGTGGGCCCTGCTTCCAATGGCGGCAATAATAGAATCACGGGGCGTTGAGGACACCCAGTTACTAGCTGAGGCCACGGTGGGTTAGGGGCACGTCAGGACCATGAAAGTGGTATAGCCACGAGACGGCCATGTGCTCCCTGCATCCCTCTTTCATTCGGGAACCCACCGTGATGGCACAGAATGATGACAGATGCAGTTATAATGTCAGATGTTGAACTATAGGCTTTGGATAAATGTGCCTCTGAACACCACCCTGAAGTCCCTAAGTGGATTATATATATTTGGTTTGGAAGCCTGATATTTAATATCTGTGTGCTCTGGCGGCTGCCTTTATTTCTCTTGATAATCTATTCCCACTCCACTTCCTTCCCGATTTCTAACCTCATTAAATCTCTCATATCACAGCTACGTTCCTTCCTAAACAAGATTAAAGACAGGCTTGTCCTAGGTTCTGAGTCTGATTTTTCCTGACACCAGGGCAGGGGCTGTGAACAGGGCGCAGGTGGTGCCGGACCCTGCTGTGTTTTAGCTGCTTTGAAGCATCCCTTTGACTCAGGGCCTGAGGTGGTCTCAGGAGTGGCAGGAAATGAAAACTGTTTGTTACCCCGGGATTCTCCATTCTCCTGTGGTTTGGGTGTGTGGGTAGAGGCGCTCCCGGGGAGAGATGCGGCTTGCTGGAACTCGCACCGTGGTCAGAGCCATGCTTGGGCCTTGTGGCGCCTGTCAGATTGAGACCTTCAATAGAGGGCTTGCGTCTGCCCCCGGCCCCCGCTGAAGTGGGGAGAGGGGAGAAAGCCTGGCTGAGCCCTCGGGTTGCTGGGCTGTATGTCTGGCCTTCCATCTATAGAAGGAGCCTGGGGCCTGAAGTGTCAGGCCCAGACTTCAGGCTCAGAACTGTCCACGCCAGCGAAACCAGTACTGGGTAGGTGCATCCTCTCCCCAGCGCTTCCCTGGACGCCTGTCCTTGTCCAGGGATGGTGGAGGCTAGGAAGGCTCCAGGACTTGAGAGCGAGGCCCAGGACTTGGTTGGGGAGGGCACAGCATGATCTGGGATGGCTTTGCGTCCGCCTTTGGCTGTGTCAGATTGCGCTCAGCCTGGCACTGGTGGCCATGTTTTCTGTACTGTAGCGATTTCCAAAGGTGTGGCTATGTGCTGTGTGTGTGCATGTGTCTGTGTGCGTGCGTGTGCACATGGGTGCGTGTCTGCACGTGCATGTGTACATGTGTGCGTGTCTGCGCACACACGTGTCTGTGTCTGTGTGTGCGTGTGTCTGTGTCTGTCTGCGTCTGTGTGTCTATGTCTGTGTGTGTGTGTCTGTCTGTGTCTGTGCCTGTGTGTCTGTGTGTCTGTATCTGCATGTCTGTGTGTCTGTCTGTCTGTCTGCGAGTCTGTGTGTCTGTCTGTGTCTGCATGTGCGTGTATCTGTGTCTCTGTCTGTGTCTGTACGTCTGTCTGTCTGTCTGTGTGTCTGTGTCTGCATGTGTCTGTGTCTGTACATCTGTCTGTGTGTCTGTCTGCGTGTGCGTGTGTCTGTCTGTGTGTCTGTGTCTGCGTGTGCGTGTGTCTTTGTGTGTGTCTGTGTGTGCATGTGTCTGTACGTCTGTCTGTGTCTGTGTCTGCGTGTGTCTGTGTCTGTCTGTCTATGTCTGCGTGTGCGTGTGTCTGTCTGTGTGTCTGTGTCTGCGTGTGTCTGTGTTCGTCTGTCTGTGTCTGTGTCTGCGTGTGCGTGTGTCTGTACCTCTGTCTGTCTGTGTCTGTGTCTGCGTGTGTCTGTGTCTGTACATCTGTCTGTCTGTCTGTGTGTCTGTGTCTGCGTGTGTCTGTCTGTCTGTGTGTGTGTGTGTGTGCGTGGCCTGGTTTCCCCCGGGTCTGGTGCTGTGCCGGGCCCAGCTCCCCTGGGCTCATGGATGGCTGAACCTCCCAGGTTTTCGAGGGCTTCACAGGGGAGGGCGGGCCGGGCGGTCCAGTGCTGTGCTGCGGAGGGGGACCCCGCCCGCCCCGAGGGGCCCCCCTCCCAGTCCACTGCCACCTCCGCTTCTCCCCCCCTCCCGCCTCTCCCCCCCCACCCCCCCCCCCCCGCCAGCGCCTCTCCCCCCGCCTCCCCCCCCCCCCCCGCCGGCCCGCGCCTCTCCCCCCCTCGCCTCTCCCCCCCTCGCCTCTCCCCCCCCCCCCCGCCTCTCCCCCCCCCCCGCCTCTCCCCCCCCCCCCGCCGGCCCGCGCCTCTCACCCCCCCCCCCCGCCTCCCCCCCCCCCGCCGGCCCGCGCCTCTCCCCCCCTCGCCTCCCCCCCCCCGCCTCTTCCCCCCCCCCCCCCGCCGGCCCGCGCCTCTCCCCCCCCCGCCTCTCCCCCCCCCCCCCCGCCGGCCCGCGCCTCTCCCCCCCTGCCTCTCCCCCCCCCCGCCTCTCCCCCCCGCCTCTCCCCCCGCCTCTCCCCCCTCCAACCCCGCCTCTCGCGCCCCCCGCTCCTCCTTCTGGGCGGGACGGGCCGCTTGGGACTCAGTTTCCCGCTGTGTGAGCGGGAGCCCAGGCCGGCGGATCCGCGCCTCGGGGCTGGATTAGTCGGGCCTGCCCGCGCCCGCCCCGCCCGCCCGAGGCCCCGCCCGCCGGAGGCCCCGCAGCCGAGCCGGCCGGCCCCGCGCCCAGCCGCGCTCCGCCGGTCCTCGGGCCGGGCCGAGCCGCTGCGCCGCCCGCGCCCGTGCGGGGCCGGATTGCGGCCGGAGAGCGGGCGATCGCCCGCCGCGCGCGGGACGGGGCGCCAGGTCAGTGCCGCCGCAGGCCGGGAGGGAGGGCGGGCGCCCAGGAGCGGGGAGGGAGGGCGGGAGGGCGGGAGGGGAAGGAGGGAGGGCGGGAGGGCGCCCAGGAGCGGGACGGGAGGGAGGGGAGGGGAGGGGAAGGAGGGAGGGCGGGAGGGCGCCCAGGAGCGGGAAGGGAGGGGAGGGGCGACGGGAGGGGAGGGAGGGGAGGGGAGGGGAGAGCCAGGTACTCAAGAGCGGACAGGAGGGGAGGGGAGGGGAGGGAGGGGAGGGGAGGGCCCCCAGGAGCCCAGGAGCGGATGGGAGGGGAGGGAGGGGAGGGGAGGGAGGGGAGGGGAGGGCCGGGTACTCAAGAGCGGACAGGAAGGGAGGGGAGGGGAGGGAGGGCCCCCGGGAGGGGAGGGGAGGGGAGGGGAGGGGAGGGGAGAGCCAGGTACTCAAGAGCGGACGGGAGGGGAGGGAGGGAGGGAGGGAGGGAGGGAGGGTGGGCCCCCGGAGGCGGGCCCTGGTGTGTCCCCCGCCCCAGGCCAGGACGGGTGGGGTCCCAGTGTCAGCCAGCCCCCTGGGCCCGGTTGGGGCGGGGCGGGGCAGGCTTGGCTGCAGGAACATCTGCCCCCCCCCCCCCACTGGCAACAAGGCCGCTGTGATCCCAGCTGCCCGGGTTGGTGCCCATTCTCCACCTGCTTGCACCAACTACAGGCTGCCGCCTGAGGCCCTGGAAGTAGGTCCAGGAAGTTACCAGCACAAGCCTGGCAGCCCCTAAGGCCCCTGGTCCTTAGGGCCAGCCAGCCGGGCCAGCTCTGCGGTCCTGGCAGGAGGGCGCCCAGCAACGCCCAAGGCCAGCACCAGAAGAGGTGACTGCCTGCTTTTGGAGCCTTCTGGGTGGGGAGGACCACCACTGGCCAGGTGTCCAG